AATGAATTGTTTTTGAAGTTTCGTTCGCGGTTGTTGTTGTTGGTGTTAATGTTGTTGTAGGTGTTGTTATTGTTGGTGTTGTTGTTGTTATTGTTGTTGCTGTTGCTGCTGCTGCTGCTGTTGTTGTTGTTGTTACTATTGTCGTTGTTATTGTTGCTGCTGCTGCTGCTGTTGTTATTGTTGCTGCTGTTGTTGTTGTTGTTGCTGTTGTTATTGTGGTTGTTGTTGTTGTTGTTGTTGTTGTTGCTGCTGTCGCTGTTGTTTTTATTGTTGCTGTTGTTGTTGTTGTTGTTTCAAATGTTTTGTGAACTTTTCGTCCGCTTTTTCTCTACGACCTTTTCTCTCTATCATTATTTGTAGATAGATGCGTTTTAAAATGTGTGTCATGCCGTTTTATTTATATTGATAATTTGTTGTTGTTGGTGTTGTTGTTATTGTTGTTATCGTTGTCATCATCAACTCGTTTTTAATTTGTTGATGCTCGCGGCATTTTCGTTGCTTTTATTGCGCTTCTTTTTTTTTTATAGAGTACTTGGTAATAATAAATCTACATTTACTGCACGGCATGACACTCCGTTGGGATTACCACGTTTTCATTCGACGATTCCTATCTGTTACTAAAAACATTTGCTTTTTCCTTCTGACGCGTTTTTTTTGTGATTCATCGCCGGTTCAGAGGTGCTTGAGATTGACCTGTCCTTTGGACGCGATTTTCATCACCACCGGCTTTTATTTCTGACACCACGAGGTAATATGGAACAGTCAATTATTGAAGTGCTGCCAATTCGTCCTCTGCGCTGGCAATTGCACGATGCGTTTCCGATATGCGGCATTATTTAATATTGGATGGCAGTTTGGTGTGTGTTCTTAACCTCGTTGGTTTATGGTCGCGCTTCACAGTCTGCTAAAGGACGTCGCTTATGTGCACTATTTAGCAAGCTGTGCTTGTGCCGCCGGTACTGGCTCTCAAAGGGCATCTGATCATTCATTCCTAGAAACCGTTTTTCTCAACATCATCAGTTGTTTCTTTCACCCACCATGAAAAGTCATAGGTCTATTATTGTGTACCCTTCAAGCAGATGGCAGGCACTTGCTGATGTCTTATCTGGCGACTACCTAAGTCGGGTCGTAATTCCTACTCGAAGAAAACGAGTCAGTTAAAAGCAGCAAATTGTTTGTCGACAATTGCTCAAAATCCATCTCATTTTTTCAAAATGACAATGCAGCCCTGCGCGTACTACGCATAAAATCAGGCGCAAATGTCTTTTCAAAATACGTGGGAATATCACCAGGAAACACGCAGCTTGTTTCAGTTGGTTTTTGTAGTTGCATTGTTATCAGTTGCTGTCCTTACGCTTTTTGTCGTTGGATGGTATTGTTCTTGCTGTGCTTATGGTAGTATAATACATCAATACATTTATGGTTTATTTGTTGCTCTTGTTAATATAGATATAGCATAGGTATATATATATATATATATATGTACTTAAAAACTATCGTCTCGGAACTGTCTCTCGTTGGTCGATACTTTTGTCAGAGCGATAGCTTCTATGTGTTTCCGAGATTGTGCTTGTTGTGGCTCTTCTACGTCAAAAGCGTCTGGCCTTCATTCCTTGAGGCATTTATGATTATTAGCATTATTACGATTTCCGTCACAAAACAAACACCGTCAACTGATTATCTCGCCCCATCCATTATCGTGTCGTGCCGGCTAGCCACAGCGGTAAGCAAGTCCGTTGTTGGTAAAAGGATTAATGATGTTGTCTCGGTGTCTTTACGTAGAAAAACTACCGACATGATTACGGCAACACTCCAGTTGCTGTTCCGTTCTTATTGACCCCGATAGTATCAACCAATTTGTGTGATGTTATACTGCTCGCTTTATTCTATTATACTTTCTTCTATTTGAGAAGTCGTTGGCTACATCTTTGCTTCCAAAGATCTCTCGAAGCAGCTTCTGCATCATTATCTGCTTCCTTCAGAGTCCTAACATAATTTTTTTCTCATTTATCAACACTACTACTATTAACGTTCATGTCACAGTGAAGACTGCTGTGTACATTAATCCACTTGTCATGAGTTGTTATGGTCTTTGTTGATGACAAAGCATAATCTATCATTGTACGCTTTTAGTACAGAGTAATTATTTGTAATGATAATTGTTATTTGTGAATCTATCTGAGGCGGCTACGACCTTGCGGAAGTCGTTGTCCACGTACGCACAAGTCGCGGTAATAGTGCTCGGGAACGAATAGACTTCGGCGTCAAGAACCAGAAATCTCCATCACACTCCTAGAGAAAGTGAAAAACGACTAAGAGAATTATACATCCTGAATTCTAGACAGTCTAGAACAAACCACCTTCTTCCAATACTCATCATTTCATATCTGACTGATTGTCCCCGGTTAAGTTTGCCGCGTTGCGCCCACAATGACAACATCTGTGCGTGAAACGAGGTGCTAACTACGGGTTGCTGTCGTTCGACAAATCATAATATCGGCTCTTCTCGCTTATAACTGCAGTTGTTAGCGGCACAGTATGATGTCGTCGTGCACTCGTAGCGAACTTGGCGACACCAGCAGAGCGTGTAATAGTCGCTATGCATTTCCATGTTTTACTCGTTGTGCTGATCTCACGGCAACCTGGGACACATTGTTAAATGTATTTAATTCGTATTGTTCAACTTTAACGATTACGCATCTCAAATTTTCAGTCGTCGATCACCCTCAGGGGTGACGCCACCGTTGGAAGAAGAATCTGCGACCGGTGTGCCGGAAAAATATCTGTGCCGACTATATAGTTTCCATTAGCCTCTCTTCTAGTTTTCACCAGCGCCTGCATCACCTAATTTCCCCTTAAACATACATTTGAAGGTGAAGAATGAGCCACGAAGATGCCTAAATCGTTATCGTATTATGCATATGATTTTAGTAATAATAATTTTAATCAATACCATTTAGTAAGCCCAGACGACCTAGCTTTTCTAATAACAAGGCTATATATATATATATATATATATATATATATATATATATATATATATAGGGGCGAATGAACTCGTCGGCTCTGCCCTGCGATCACCATATGGATAAAGTATTAGTCGTAGGAGGGTGCTAATTGCGTCATAGTAGTTATTATAGCAGTAGTGCGTTTTCACCAACTAACACATGTTCATCTGAATATCGCATTGACGCTACACTATATTATTGTTACTGCTATCATTATTCGCACTACAAATACTTCGTTTATCAAATGTTGCTATTATCTGACTCCGACGACGAAAAATGCAAACTAATGGGAATAGAATTTAACCAATAGATTATCACGACCGGGGTAAAAGAGATACAATTACAGTAGTAATTAATGCCGAGCTACCAGCAAAAGAAGGCTCACATCGTCATAGATGTTCCACAGCATTTTCGATTTATTGTAACTATGTCCCAATATTTTTTCGGCGCTTTTCTTTGCAATTCTGTACGCTATGGGGTCCACTACTTCGACTTATTCTTGTTATAACTGGCGTAGTGACGTAATAATCTAACGATGTATCTGACAAAAGCTTTGTCAAGGTTAACCAATCAAACCTTGCCAATGAATGAAAGACATAATGACTGTGCTTATGTCCTGATATTAGTCAGCTTATGGGGTGATTCAACTTCGGCCCGATTATCTCTACCCGCCCTTTTGTTTATGCTGTAGCTGCAGCACACGTTCGTTGACATTGATTGGATCATAATGGTGCTCTTAATACTTGATCGATTTAATTCTCAACAATCACCGCGATCGCCGTATAAATATAGGGATAGATTGAGACAGACGTACAAGTATCGATGTGGAATGAAACTGCTTACAGAGAGAGCTGTAGTTGTTCATTGCGAGTTGTTACAGGGGGATGGGGTTCTCCTCGGCTGACAGCTCTGCGATCAACAGAACCTTCATTTAACCGCCTTCTGCCGTTGCCGATAATCAAGTCCAATCAATCCACATTATTCGTGCGCGGTTCTGTAAATATTTTCAATGAACGATCAAAACAATTCGCTCTCACCTAATAATAAACAACTGATTTGTTTCTTTGTTGTTGAGTCTGACAACGAAACAGACAATTTGACAACAGGATGTCGTTAGAGATTGACGACAGATGGGTAGCTTGTTGCGCTGTAATTAGGTTTCCTCATACAGGTACATATGCAAACTCATATCAGTAAGGTTAACTTTTCAAGTAAGCACGTCATCAGACAGCGTTTTTTCAGAAGCGTCAGTTACTGATTTATTATTATTATTAGTAGTAGTAATAGTAGCATTATAATCTGTAATATGTAGAAGAATTATTACAGTATACTTCTAAAACTAAAAACGTTATTATATGAACTGCAGAATGAATGAATCGTAGGGGGCGATTACAAATAGGAATTTGTCTGTCGCTTTCATTTTACTTGCTACTGTTTTTTATCGTTCCCATTTTTGCTGCTTTACGTTAATTTTGATTCGTAACGAAGAGGCTTGAATTTTAGTAAATCGGACTCGTGAATGTTGAATAATATTTATTATTATTAATAATTCAAACCCGAGCACTGACAGCTATATCGCCCGTTAGAAATAGACAATTCGTTTTTGTTTATTTATTAATTATTTGTTTGTTTTGCTTTTTTTCTTTGATGTTTGTTTTTGTAAGAGTCATTCACGCATGATTAATATAATCACCATTATCATCATCATCCTTATCATAGTCATCATAAATAGCTATACTGGAACAGGAGCGTGATCACTAGCCGTCGTCTACATGACACCTATGTTTGAGAGAATGGAAAAAGGTACATCAATTAAGCCACGAGCTTACCCAGATGCACAAGATGTACGGCCGCAGAACACAGCCACTGCCTATTGATCGAGCATCGCTTCACCCGTGTTGTTGTTGCTGTTGTGTGTTTAAGGGACAACCCAGTAGTTGTAGTAATGGTCGAAGTAGCGGTAGAGTTGCAGCAGTTCTAGTCGAAGTAATAAAGGAGAGGACGACTTAATGGAAGGAAGTTGGGTCTTCATCTTCTGTTTTGTTTTCATTATTCTCATTATCGTCTCAGTGATGGGTGTAGCCTGGCGACTTGCCCGATGGATAGCGTTGACCTTGCTGGGTTTGATGGCCAGCGTTAGAACCATTCGGATTCCCACCGGCGCCCTGTCTGCCAACGGAGCCGCCCTGATTCATCATCTGTTGCTGGCCAGAATGGCCGCCGTATTGGGGAGTGGATCGTTGTCCACCAGCTGCTGGGTGATTCCCGCCACCACCGAATAGGCCGCTAGACCCAGATGAAGCCGGTGGTCCAAATGATGGAGGCCCCGCGGTGCCGCCCGCTTGCTTACTGCTGCCCACGCCAGACACGACAGGTCCGACGGTGCCCAATGAGGCCTGTCCAGGTCGCGACGGCCCAGGTTGTTGCTGCTGTTGCTGCTGGGCGGTATGTTGCTGACTTCCGTGGCCGTGGCCGACCGCCGCGTGTCCGTAAGGCGGAGGCGTACTCTGCTCATAGGAGGTCTGCTGCTGAGGTGGCTGTTGGCCACTAGCGTCCTTCATCGTTGCGCTGTATCGCGCTGCCGCCTGCGGGTTGTGACCGGCGTGCGCGTATATGCCAGCAGTTGAAAAAGCGGCCGCCGGCTGTGGGGGCGTCTGCATCGCCGCGGGGTAATGGCTGTGCCCACTTATGGCATGTTGGGCATAGTGCCCGCTTTGTTGGGCTGATCCATAAGGGCCAGCCGCCGTTGGGGTGGCTGTGGGGGCTGGAAAATATCCATGAGCTCGATATTGACTCTGCTGTTGTTGCTGTTGCTGAAAGCGATACAGATCCTGTTGCTGCTGTTGTTGGGAGAAGTACGGATATGAGTGATCACTTGCAGCGGCGGCACTTGAACCTGGTCCAGCCTGACCGGTCGCAGCCAAATGCGTATGGCCATGATGAGTTGCACCGGCTGGCGGCGGACTTTGGAACTGGGGGCCGTACATCTGCGCAGCGGCTGCCGCTGCTGCGGCGGAGTGCTGTTGAGCGGCGTACGCACGCATATGCGCTGGATCCAACGGTGTTTGGCCAGCGTGTGCAGCTGTCATGTGACCAGCTTGAGGATAGCCTGACGGGGTCATCTGATGATGAACGGAGCGCTGCACTGTTGCTGCACCTGCAGCAGCTGCCGCTGCCTGATGATGATATTTCGGCTGATGCTGAGGCAGCATCTGATAATACGGCTGCTGATGTTGCGGCTGTTGCGCCTGCTGCTGATGGCCCATTGTGGCAAGAGGCTGCTGTTGTTGTTGTTGCTGCTGCTGCGCTTGTTGCTGCTGTTTGCCTGACGGTTGCTGTTGTTGGCCACCAGCTGCAGCATAAGCTTGCTGGAAGCTCGACACAACTTGCGCAGAGGCGCCCATGTCCGTCTGTCCGACACTGACACCGACCTGTAAACTGCTACCGGATAATTGATACACACTCCCAAAACGACTTAACGCCATAAAATGCTAACTATAACAATACATCTATATAAATACATATAAATAAGTAGGGATGAAGGGGATATATAATTATAAATAAATATTATTAACGAAATTTAAAAAAAAGGAGGAGAAAAGGTGGAGAAGGAGATAACGAGGAAGTTTATCGTGACCACCGTTCGAAAAGGACGCCCTACTTTGCGTACGTTTGCCGGACCATTTAGGGGACAATGCAACAGAGCTGTCGTAAACTCGACTCCCTAACCGGCTGATGATTAAGGGTCATTCAGCACTTGGCGGAGCAGCACTTTCGGCCCCCTACCGGTAGACGGATCGTGGCCGTTCTCGCGGGACTTTGCCATGGCTGACACAGTCGTTAAACCGATGCGGACGCAGAAAAAAAACGCTAATGCTGATCGCATTAAACGAAAAACTCAGTGAATAGACAACACAAACCCGGTTTAATCGATAAGCTGGTTAGTTGTAGCAGATGCAGAAGTGAGAGAAATCAGTGGATTAACTCGATGGGTTTGAAGGTAGCTAGCTAACTGTCGATGGCCTAAACTTTGGCGAAGTACATTCGACGTGGCGGCGTTCCACAAGGACCTGTTCCGCTTAGAACGGCACCATGTCTCTTCTTTAGCAGACCTGTTAGCCAATGACGCTTAGATGTCTAAAAGGTTGCGGCGATAAGTTCACGTGTGGTTCTTCCACGTAACTGCTGATAACCAGAAAACAATTTCAGTACTACGTACGGCGTCAACGCTACAACGACTGCAGCTTTCCCAGCGTAAATCAAACGACCTTTCTTTCAAATACGAACGTACATGTCTTGGGTTGCCTGTAGACGGTGGAACACAGTTTACTATTATTAGTAGATGATATTATTATGATTATGTTAGTCTAATCTAAGAAGAACGATATTACACGCTAAAAACAACATTGAACTATATGAATATTACAGCTATGTAATGACGATAATGGGCGATATATTATGGATGAAGACGGTGCAGCATACGGCAATGCTCATTATTATGATGACATTCGAGAGTGGAGACTCGAAAGTGTAGGTGGAGACGATGAAAGATACGTGAAAGGACAGCGAATGGAGACAATTATTAACATAAACGAGACATGATGCTAAGACAGTAAAACAAAGAAGAAGAAGAACAGACGGCGTAAAAAACAAACCATTATGAAATGACAGCAATGATTATGATGATAATGAAATAATAAAGTGGACTGATATAAATGATGATACTGAGAATAATAATAATAAGATAATATTAATACTAATTACGACGACGATGGATTGCTGCTGATTATGAAGAAAAACGAATACGAAAATGTAAAACCTGTGGATGATATTTATTTAATTATTACTATTATGAGCATTACGTGATGGCGAAAATAATAACAACCAATAAATCTGAATGTTGTGTACTTTCGACATCCGCGGTTCTTCTTTACAATTAGACAATAATATAAAATAGACTAATGTAAAGGAGAAAATTTCTAGGTTGCATGTAGGATTCGAAAGGACTTTAAGGCGTGCTACCTCTTTAGAACACTCAAGAATGAATGGTGCGGTGATGTACTTGCAGAGAAAGTAACGCTAAGCCTATTTGTTTTACTATACATGTTGTTTACACTATATGATACGCACCAATTGACAACACAGCTCTGAGCGTCCTATGTATTTTAAAGCTAATCAACAGAGGGTGCATTCCCAAATCACTGAGTGCACTTTTTTCACAAATTTATAGAAGCTGGCAACTCACACCCACACATTCTTGGCCTACGCTAGAACAAAACTGATGTAGTTTTCTTATGAGCTCAGATCTGAATAATTGGATAATTTTCTGCTTGTGCTAACTCGTACGTCCTTCACAGAGATGTCTGTCCATGGAGGTAACTGGATTGCAGCTTTAATTCCGTACTTAAACCACATAAAAGTTTTCTTAAATATTAGTTCTTTAGATTCGCGAATGATTTCCCTACAATAACCAGAAGTAGTAGAATATTTGTACGTGAGGACTCGCTTAGGTCTTGTCCAAATACGCCAGACAAAAAAATCCGGCAAATCTTGCCTTATATAAACCTAATATATTCTAAAGATCGAAAAGTGTAAGCGGTGTAAAAGACGCAACAGGTGAAAAAAGACAAATCTTTAGGATTTATGTGGTGCACAATAATGAATACTTTGTTGATACATTTAACTTCAGAAAACATATTTGTTTGAAATTTTTACCAAAAAGTGATCTCTCGACGGAAAAACGTGCTGTTGTTTAGCAACCTATTGAGGAGCTGATTTTTGCTTGCAATAATCGATTATATAATTTGTTTATAGTAGTCATGATCATGCCTACGAGGTTATCTCTGTGTGGGGTTATTCCTTCGATTTTCCTTGTTCTTGTTTTTTTATAGACTATTCTACGATCACAATTCATATAAGACCTATAAGAAGATCAGCTCGTAGGGAACCGATCACAATTTTGGTGTTGGGACTCTGCTTTAATAGCTATAAATTGCCTCTGAACAGAACCCACTCACTTTTGCATATGCTTAACTAGTGCGAGCTGGAAGTAAGGCTTTTCGAAGAATTGTAATTGATATGTATTGTACAAAGCTAAAGTCTACGTGTTCGCAAAAAGTTATGTAACAAAGCTCACGGTTTCTTTTTAATTACTCTTTCTCAAGAGCCATGGACACGATTACCTGATTTACCATTCAATGAACATTATACCATTTTAATGTAGATATTACAATTTAATTTGTAAAGAATTCGTTATAGTTTCGAAAAAAAAGTCTCAGTAAAAAAGCCATTGCAAACAACCTACTTAATGCATCTTCTAAACTGAAATTTTCCATAACATTCAAATACAGAAGGCAATATTATAACGTGAGACACTGGAAGAAGTGCCTCCATCGTATTGGATTGACGCCCGTATTGATCGATTTTGGTCGGTTTGGGGTTCCGACATTTGCTCTGATCCAGCAAATGCCATTACCGATCAATCGCCTTTGTAGGCCTTTAACATTCATTCACAAAGCATCAACTCGGTGTCCAACCGAGTGGGCATTTTGTGCATGTAATTACACAGATAAGGCTAGTTTTAGACGTCAGTTTGGGAGCGGGATGAAACTGCTTGTAGCCGGTATGTTTATATAAGTAATTCGCCAATTCTCAGATCTCTTTGGAACATCTCAGTTGAATTCGTGAGTCATTATCCTTAATGTGTCATTATTATTTATTAATGGAAGAAAATGGGTTAAGTGCGGTACCACAGACGCAATGCTCCACACAATTTTGTATTTTTTTGCCAATTCAGTTGACATTGCGCGGTTTCATGCCGGGAAAAAAGCATCGTATAAAAAAAAAAAAAAAAAACGTGAAATCTAAATAACCGTCAACGTCTTATTTAAAGCACTGCTGTATTATAAAGACATGGCTCCATCGGTCCTGGTGTCCATTACAGGTAAAATCATATATTAGTGAGTCGTAGCTCAATTCTGTAACTTAATTTATATACCCTGCATGGACATCGCACACAAGGTATAGTTAGCACTGCCTCGATGCGTACCGCGACTTATTCCTGTGTGCAAGAATTATTTTTCTTTGTTCATCTATAGACACGTAAATTCACGCCAGTTGTTATGTCTGTTTTTCGGAGCAGCCATAAAAACACGTTTACTATTTATTTATCGATTTAATAAAGCGAGACATAAAACATCTCGTAGCAGTAGGTATCATATTCGTGATTAAAAAGCCATGCCTGGAAAAACTAAGGATTAGTTGTTATTTGAATGCGAACAGAAATTATATGTCTAAACAGCAAGCAACAGACTAATAGTGCTTTTTAATATTTCAGAATAATGATGGCAAAATAACATGACGATGTCGGTTTCGGAGTTTATAGTCCTAGCACCCGGTGTGAACACTTCGTCTCATTTATTGAACAGTGATACATAGTGGTAAATTGTTTTGTGATCTCGGTGTAATCGTTAGTATAACTATTTATTACTGTGGATCTTGCCTCAGCTGCAATGATATTTTAGATGCTTCATAATAAACCAGCTTTTTATTTTAAATTTTGCGAAAACCTAGGGATACCAAAGCATGCCTATCGATATTAAGTATGGTTATTCTACTTAATTAATAACTCTTAAATAATAAAGAAATTCATCCGAAATTTTGCAAATGCATATTACAATAGTACAGAATCCCTCATAATAGCTTTACCTTGAAGGCACTTGTGAATTGTGCAAACAAAGATTTGAACGTCAAAATGTTTCCAAAATCTTACGGGCAAAGACGCTGAGACGAAGTGAAACCTGCCGATTCGGTTGACTGCGAGGAAAGACTAAGCGTATAAAGGGATGATCTTCGCGGCGCCTGTTACACCTTTTCGAGTAATCATTGTTTATACATATGCACTTGTGCTATCATGAGTGTGTATTTTGAATTGTTTTCAATTGCTTGAATTTTATAGCCTACAGGCCCGGATGTTGTGAGTATGTGTATTCTACTATGTATATCGCTTGGGTTGCCTTTGTTGAATGATTGTAAGTATTGGTTATATAAGCGCCCCGGGATAATATTTAAACACCTGTTTTAGAAGTTTTAACTACGCAGCTTTAGTTTATGCAGTTTCTTAGTTCCGACAACAAGTATCCGTGGGCTGAAAGTAGCAGAGACACTGAGAGGCAACAATACGTACAGGGGCACCGATGCACCTCGCATTTCTAGAGTTATTAGTTCAAAGTTCGTTAATGATATATACTCTATGAAAAGGTGCGACGAGATACAAAAAATTCATTTCTGGATTAGGTTGCGTAATCGTACAGAACAATTCTTAAGGTTGCCTCAGCAAATACATTTCAAACAATAATCGTATCTTTTATATTAAATGATACAATCCTAAGCAAATTAAGGCCACGAAAAAAAACCTAACTCTAACCAACAT